AGTTCAAAATTTCCAAAATTTAAAAAAAAATCCAAAAGTTTTTTTTTCTAAAAATTCAATTTTTTCAAAAATTTTTCTCAAAGTTGAAAAAAAAAATTGATCTTTTTTGAAAAATTCAATTTTTGGTACGAACAGTTTCAGCAATTTGTCTTAAGGCACGATGTCATACACAATTAGAATTGGCTTATTATAAGCAAACGAGTTCGAAAATTCATTGTATTTTTTAATATGTTAAAATATTCGCCTGATCTTAATAAAAGCAATGCATTATGCATAACAAGGACAAGCAAGCCGCCTGTTGAAACTTTATATGGGGTATGTAAGTCGACCTCGGATTTTGCGTAGGGTGTCCTATAACGGATAACCCAGGCAGGGCGGCCGACGTGGCTACTACGTCACTACACTAGCGGAATTGTTACCTATTCGGGATCGCCAGAAGACAAAGAGTCCGGTAACAATCGATAACCGACCGCTAATTGCAAAAACTTTGGGATAACAGTTTTTCGAAAGTTCACGTGCTTCGACAAATTTGCTAAGTGGGAGAAAATGTAACTTGGATGGTAAGGGATTTTGCACAAGAAATTCAATTTAATCCAAATATAAATGTTCCTGACAATCTTTGTAGATGATTCCTTTTCTTCAGGAAATGTATGAAAGAGTGCACTGGAATATATACGATTTTTCTAGATTTATTCACTTCCCATAGGGTAAGTTATAGTAATGGGCCAAGAATCGAAAATAATTTTTTCTGCATATCTTTACGTTTCAGAGGTTTCTGAACATTTTGGCATACCTCAGAAAAAATGGATGTGTGTGTATATGTGAGACAATTTTTCGTCGACGATTTTGGGCGTATTGATGAACCGATTTGAAAAATTCAAAAAGCAATCGATTCCTATTGATAGGGAGACATGCTGATTTGTTTTTGGATCAGCGGCTTCGAAGATATGAAGCTAAAAAGTGCTAAAAATGTCAGATTTTAGAAGAACGGATCAACCGATTTGAATGCTTCAAAAACATTTGATTCATAATGATGGCAAAAAGAGGTGATTAGATTTTGGCAAAGGCAGGTCCAGGCGTTTTGCAGATACTGGGTAGAAAGTGCAAAATGGACAGTTTTTGAGAAAACAGATTAGAATTATTCATTCGTTTTGTATTGACAGCCAGACGTACCGATTAAATTTTGGCAAAGCCAGATCCTGTCGTTTTTGAGATACAGAGCAAAAAAATGACAGTTTTTGGAAAAACGTAACATCTGATTTGAATGATTCAACATACTGTGTACAGTTTGCTATAAAAAATAAACCAAAAAAAAAGAATAATTCAACTAGTGGTGTATGACATCGTCGTGCCTTAAGGCAAATTGCTGGAATTGGCCCGTATCAAAAATTATTATTTTTTAAAAAGATTAAGTTTTTTTTTTAACTTTGAATGAATTAGATTTTTGAGAAAATTTAAATTATTAAAAAAAAAACTTTTGAAAAGAATTTTATTTTTTTATTCTGAAAAAAAGGTCCGAAATGAAATAGACTTATTATCACCTTGAAGCTACAAAATTAATATAATTTTTTTTAAACCCATATATTTTCACAAGAAATTTATTCGTACTTCCACAAACAATCTAAAAACAGAAAAAAATTATTATTTTACAAGTAATGACAAGTAGTAAAATTCCAGAGATAAAAACCATAAAATTAAATACCGTGGCGTTCACGTATATAAAACATATATTTAAATATTGTTAAGTGACTACTATAAATACCTGTGCTATAAATATAATTGCAGAGATTTTGCTTTTTAGCTAAAAATATAGAATTAAATTATGTTTTCAAATGAAAATAGCCCTTTTGCTCCCAGTAGTTAGAAATGTAATGGCCTGTTAATAAATTGGCGATTAATTTAGCTTTCGCACCCACTTTTGATTGATATATGTATGTATATATATATATATATATATATATATATATATATTTGAATAGTCTTGAATTTGATGTTGATATATATGTTTAATTTGAGTTTAATATTGGAGTTTAATTGGAGTGAAATTAGCCCTCACACCACACTATCCTTACATTGGTTTAGAGAAATCATCAAATTCATTGTCTCTAACACCTATTTTGAATTTAATGGATCATTTTATTACCAAATTTTTGGCACCCCAATGGGATCTCCCGCATCTCCGTCTTTAGTAGAAATTTCCTTACAATTAGTAGAAAACAAAATTTTTAATAATTACAATAAACAAATCTTTTATTACCGATATGTAGACGATATCATTACTTGTATTCCGGAAGAAGACATTAACATATTTACTGATAATTTTAACAATTTTAATAAAAAACTACAGTTTACCGTAGAATTAGAGACAATGAATTCGATTAGCTTTCTAGACATCAGACTCATACGTACAAATGACCACCGACTAATTACTAACTGGTACCAGAAACCAACTAGCTCCGGACGATACATAAATTACCACTCATACCACCCTCTTAAAATGAAAATTGCGACAATAATAAATTTAACAGACCACGCCATATTACTATCTGACAAAAACTTCTGGGACACGAACATTGACCTGGTTATAAACACACTGAAAAACAACTCATATCCTACGAACATAATCAACTCGGTCATAAATAACAGACGCAGTTACATTTTTAACAAACAAAAAGACCTCACAGACCATAAAAACCGCTTAGACTTAGAATCATATACTGGTGTCATTTGCCTGCCGTACGTAAAAGATTTATATTTCTCGTGGAAAAAACTATTTCAACAATGTGGCATTCTGTTGGTATGTAATTGTGATGCAACCCTTAGTTCAATTTTTACACAAATGAAATCTAAGTTCAATTTTGACCGCCTCAGGAATTTAGTATATCAAATTAATTGCTCTAATTGCGAACTCTTTTATATTGGAGAAACTAGCCAAAACCTGAGTAAACGCCTTAATCAACACAAAAATAATTCAAAAAATCCTAAGCAATTTAAAACAATGTTAACTGAGCATATTAAAAATTTAAATCATAATATCGATTTTTTTAACCCTAAAATTTTACATTTTGAAGAGAATACAATTAAAAGAAGATTCGCTGAGGGGTTGTTTTTACAATTACATAACGACAGAGTCATAAATAAACGCAATGACAATACGGCCCTTATCGAAACGAACACGTGGTTTCTTAATAGCGTGTCAAAATTCCTTAAAAAATAACAAAATCCCATCGCCTTTTAAATTTTCCAAAAAATATCAACACATGCTAAAAACTGCTTTGAGAAAAATGTGACATTTCTATCCTAAACTCCAAAGAGTAAATACATAGTTTCGACAACTTGTTAAGTTATCATGATTATTAGTGTGTTTTACCATTTGTGATGTTTGTGTTAAAAAATATATATCTTATCAATGTGCACATACTCATACCATGGATTAATAATGGTTTCATATGCTATATTAGGATACAAAATTGTAAGTGTTTTATTACTATTATTATTATTATTGTTTTTCCACAAAATTTCCTTTCATATAATTTATTTAGTTTCAATTTTTATAGTTAACTTGATTACCACTGAATGATGGCTAAGATGCTAGCCGAAACGTATGGATTTTAAATAAATAAATTTAAAAAAAAAAAACTCATACTATTTTTATTGATGTTACGCCCGATTATTAAACTCAAATTAAACATATATATATATATATATATATATATATATATATATAATCTCATACTATATTTTCTAAAAGTATAATTCAAGATTTATATAATATTAATCTGTTTAATATTTGTAATTGAAACTTACGATAAAAATGAATACTTATTTCATTTTAAAATGCAAATCGAATATTTAAGCTCTTATAATAAAACTTTGCAGTTGGAAACTTTAAATCAATCACCTGTACTTCAGTAGGTAATTACAGACTTACAAGTATTCAACCATAAAAATAATATTATAATATACTGTTTATATTATTATTGACAGCATATCATTATAGTAATGGGCCGAAAATCGAAAATGAAATTTTTTGCATATCTTCACGTTTTAGAGGTTTCTGAACATTTTGGCATATCTCAGAAAAAATGGATGTGTGTATGGGTGTGTGGAAGCAATTTTGTGTCGACGATTTCGGGCGCACGGATCAACCGATTTGAATGTTTCAAAAAACATTCGATTTCTTTTGATAAAAATATGTGCTGATTAGTTTTTGGCAAAGGGAGGTCCAGTGCAGAACATAGAAATCAAGTTTTTGAAAGAACGGAGTATCCAAAAAAACGTTCATTTTGAAATGATTGGAAGAAGTAATGATTAGTTTTTCGTAAAGGCTGGTCTAGCCATTTCATAGATACAAAGCTAAATGTACAAAAGTAGCAGTTTTTAGAGAACTAAGTATCCGATTAGGATGATTCAAAAAACTTTCTTCTTGTGTTGATAAAACAATTGCTTTTTTAATTAAAAAAAAAATCAGATTTTTTTTTTGCATATCGAAAATAATTCAGATTTTAATTTTAATTCTAGCTCTAGTTCTAAAGCTCACTTATATACTTTAAATAAATAATTTTAATTTTGCACTTCAGTTTATTTAAATCTTATGAATATTGGACAATGTTACAGTATTTAGTAATAATCTATTTGAAAACATTTAATATTCCTCGAATTTGCCTTAAGGCACGATGCCCTACACCACTAGTATGGCAACATTTCGTATAGTTAGAACTCACATAGAAGTGGAAAAAAATAGCCATATTGATTATAAAAATTAAGCTCAAGAGTAAAGAATGTATTTGCATCACTATCAGCTTATAACGTATGACCTATTCTGAATGAATAAATAATTAAAAATTTATTACTTGCAATAAAAATTTCACAAACATCTTTACCAAACCTTTTAAGGATCATATTGAATAAGGGTAAAAAATGTTTTTATGTAGAACTTCTGAAGAAAATACCGCAGTGAATTAGATAAGTAAAAAAAGCATTTTCTTGATGGGTTTCAGGCAAAGGACATGTGGGAGCAACTCAGTCAGGAGCAGAGGAAACTCTACGGGAAAGATTATTTTGAGCAGGCTTTGCGATCCCTTGAGAAATTCGTCAAAGGACCGGTGAGTTGCTCAAAATTCTTTTAGGCGATGAAACATATCAACCTACTACTTACATCACGTAGAAAGCAAATATGTTTCAAAGTGAAATTATAACCTATCGAAACGATTGATTAATAATTATATCAATACATTTAAATGCATGTGCTTATATATATATATATATATATATATATGGCCCGGCAGAAGGTCTCCTGTACCCTTCTACAAGTCAAAGGTTACAATTTTTTTAATATCCTATCCTATACTTTTTAATATCCTATTTGATGTCCTGCCTTTGTGATTCATTTATAGTTGTACCATAAGAAGTATAAGAAATTCAAAAAAAATAATATTGTATCTGGGGTAAAAGAACAATATCACACTTGGTTTTACTACATAAAATAATTGCTGTAATATAATATATTAGTTGCTTTTTGGTAATTAAAATTTCTGAAGTACATTTTTCTTACTAATAATTTAATAAACATTATTGTTTCTGTTCAAATCTTAGGTGAATTAACTTATAAAATCTTTTTCTAATGATCACTCGTCAAACTAAGATCAACTTGCTAAATATTCCATATCCAATGCCAAACAAATGAATTCTTGACACATGAAACAAAATTCTAAATAATTGTTTTAATAAGTAGAAATATTTTTCTGTATTGCTAAATAATTTAGTAAAGTAAACCAAAATGCGACATGCATAAGTATAAAAAAATGATGTATATGCATTTTTGGAGTTATTGCGTTATTTATCAAACTGAATTATATAATTCATCTGCCAAACATATACTGCTGATTGTATCTTATATTATTTTGATTTCTGGCACATCTCAGCTGCTTTTTGGCAATAATAATGACATTACATTTTTCTTGTATATTATATTCTAATATTATCTAGGCTCATAATTTCAGTTTAATTCAAATTTCAAGTGCAATGACATTTCTAGCAGATGACAGTTCAAATGTTTTCAATGTCAAACAATGATAAGTGTTTTTTTGTAATTTTTACCATTTATTTCTACAATGCTACTATAGTTTTATCGATCATTAAATTTTAAAAATTTCTTTTGACAAACTCTAAAAAGAATTATCAAAATCCGAATAACCGTTTACTTGTAGACTTGAAGGTCCGCGGGTTAAAAGGTCTACCACTGATATATCAAAAACAAGTAAAGAATTTTATAACAATGATATTTGAAAGTAGAAGTATAAAGATGTATAAGCAGCTATAGGGAGATAAACAGCAATGTTTGAAAATCCATAACAAACGTATTTTCTTTTAAAAACTTTGTTTCAAGTTTCAAAAATATTAGAAATTCAGAAGCATCATTTACCTGCAAATTTGATATCTTGAAGTTATTAATTTAGTTTCTGAAAAAAAATCTGATGATGGAATATATCTAGTTCCTAAACGCTGTTAATGTTAATTGAACATGAGAAAACTTTGTGGTTTATTCATTTATTAGATGGAATTTTGGGACAAAAACCATGTGTGTGTGTAGATTTCTTATAATAATTTTGATTTTGAAAATTTGTACTAATTTTTTTGCGGCAGTACACAAAATAAAAAAAAATCTTTATTTTTCCAACCACATATAATCATTAGTAAGACAATCATCATCTTTAGTGTTAATTTTACCTGGTGTAGTTTGTAACATATTGAAAATAGCAATTTAATTATATTTTCTAAATTTACATAAAATTTTTTGACTGGATTATTTTACGAATATGTTTCTAAAAATAAAAAATCTGATAAACTTATTACGGGGGAGAAATAAAAATAAAAAATCTATAATATATTTTTCTTCTTTATTTGATGAGCTGACCTCAATAACGTGGGACAGACAGAAGACATTTATAATTTTCTTTTACAACTTATAAATAAATTGTCTTTTATCTCGCGGTCAAAGGCGTTTTGCTATTGTATTTATTGATCAGTACCCTTTACGTATCCCATAGTACCGCATTTGTCAATACATTCCTGACATTTATTGTGACATTTTGAAATTTATCACATTTTTCAGTAAACTGATATTGAGAAAATATTTGTTATATTTGTATATTTCTGCTTGAGTGACAAATTGCGATCATAAGTGTGAAAATATTGAAAATACTCTTGCAGTAGATCTATTTCAATTCGGTAATGCACGAGAAAAATATGTCAACATCTTGCATTACGTCTGATACGAGTTTGGAAAATGCGATGTACATGAGAAATGAGACAAATATCGGCGTGGTTAAGATAGTTTTTAAAAGTTTATCAACGAACTTGAAAAAACATGATTTTTTCACCAATAGTTTGAAAAATTTTTGATAAATTTCAAAATGGGTGTAAATATAAGTGCTATTACAGAAGTGCAAACTAACAAGTTTTGAAGCAATATGTGTAATAACTAATATTCCAATCCATTCATCATATTTAGCTTGAAGATGTGTAATTTAACTAATAATCCAATCCAACTAATTGATTGAATCTTATGCAAATTCACTGTTACTATGCAATTCTTGAACTAACAGCAGTTTTAAGTCTATTAACCAGTCATGACGAGTATAGACGTCATGACGAAAGTGGCAGTATTTTATGTATTGACAAGTATTCTCATCATGCGTATAAATAAGTGGCCATTAAAATTGAAATTTTTGAGAAAAACAAAACATAGTCTAAAATTTCAGGAATGAAACAAGTAATTGTATGTGGCATTTTACAAAGGAAAATTGCTCGAACGTTCCGATACGTGTAAAATATTCGACTTAATCACAAAAAATCAAATTTTGGGACCGATTCTGCCGCATAACAGACCAATGTTATGGCAAAGCTATGTTATCAAGAACTTTCCATACAAATTTGTACTAAATATTGACAAAAGCTATCTGGCTGGGTGCACTCAGGCGATTTTCTCAGGTTGCCAGATAGAAAACATAACCTAGAAACCGCTCAAATGTCAAAAAACGATGTTAGATAACAGGGTCTTTCTGACTCAGGTTCATAACATAAGAGTGATGTTGCAGTTTATGAGTAAAACGCCTGAATGCATGATATTTTGGCAGTATTCAGTATCATTCAGTAGCATAATATGTGAAAGTTGGAGCGTAACATGGTCTTGCTATAACATTTGCCTGTTATGCGGCAGAAGCGGCCCATTAACTCAGTTAAAATTTTCAATTGTTTATTTCAAAAATCTATATTTTGCTTTTCACCAATAACTAGTTGTTATCGTATTACAATTGTATTTATCACATTTCATTCTATTTTGTAAATGAATTTTATTTACGAATGGACGTCAACAGTGATCATTATAAAACACGGAATATGTTTATACGGTTCATGTAGAAAGATAAACTCTAATAATGCCAAACTTTGATAAATTTTTATAATTCACCTTTTGTAGGCTTATAATATATTTGGATGTTTTTTTTACGCCACAGTAAGATTTTGTATTCTTATTGAGACTTTGTAAAAAATTCTAGTCTTTACCGGTATTTTACTGTCGCATTTACGTTATGGCTTGACTCTGATAATACATACTGTTCGATCAGTACGCCACGATTAACTGGTTAATGTTGAACTTACAGAAGTAATAAAAATTTAATGAGGAAGCAGTATTTTGTCATGTGGTTTATCATATTTGAAAATCCAGAAAAATAAAACAAATCTTACTCAAAGCAAGCAAGCTTTCTCGGGCTTGAAAAACTAGCATGAAATCTAGCACGACAAAATCAAGCATGCTATCCAACTCAGAAAACAAGCGTCGTGTTAACAGAGCTTATCCGTCGAGTAAAGTCTATGAATACTAAACTCACAAAATTAACAAAAATTTAACATTGTATTGTTACAAAAGCTAACCAATAGGTGTTGAAGCAAGAGGTGTACATGGCAACTAACGGAATCTATTGTAAATTAACTGCTGCTATGCAATTTTTGGACTAACAGTTGACTGAAGCTTATTAATACTAAACTTACAAAAACAAAAAAAAATACAAAAGTTAACCAATAGGTGTTGAAGCAGGAGGTGCGCATGGCAACTAACGGAATCTCGTGTAAACTAACTACTGCTAAGCAATTTTTGGACTAACAGTATTTTGGATTGAAATTTATCAAATCTGAACTAATGTTTCAATCATCATCTGAATCCCAGGATGCAGATCTGACGCCAGTCACCCGTTCCCTGGTTGATGCCGTACAGCGTACATTCCCGTTGCAGCGATACACACCAGTCACCAGAGCAGAGAAAATTCAGGCGTTCGTAGCTGCACATCTTCCTTCATCTGTCTACGACGTCATATACAACAAATGATGAAGATTTTATCAAATTGTCAGGAAATCATATTTGCGTTGACTGAGCACGGCTGGTCTGGAAACTTGTCGGTCAATAGAATCAGCAATTTCAATTCACAGTAGATGATGGTATTGGTATTGGCATGGTCTGTCTTTTCTCATTTCTACCTGAGATTGTTTCCGACGAGCCGTGCTCAGTCAAGTCTGATTCGGCAAATACGCAAAAGTTAAATATCAAATGACCAAAAGTGTATAATTACATTTAGGTAACTAGATATGGAGATTGCGTAATTGGCAGTTCAATACGAGATCGATCGAAATTGAAATTGTGTTCAAATATCTGTACCATAAGTTATATTAATAATATGTATGATATCTGATAAATAAAAAAAAAGTAAGTAAAAATGGTTTTACTACACTGAACTATTTCAGATCGTAGTTAGAATATCTAATGGGTAAACCTTTGTTATCCCTGAACTATTATAACAATTATGGGGCAAATCCTCGGATAAAATACAAATGTTATGTTATGGAAATATAATTTTATGAGTTGGTAATCATAAACCGTCAAAAAGTTATCTTTATATCTTTTCTTCGATCGAGCGTTTTATACATAAAACCTAACTTCCAAAATATTCACTTTGGTTAGACTTCACGTGTTGTTTTCAAAGTGACAACATAAAGTTGCACTTATGATATAATTATTGTTAGACATTTGTGCCTTTTGGAGGTTAAGTTTTATATGTAAAACGTTCGAACAGCAAAGATATAGCTTTTTGACAGTTTGTGATTACGAACTCATCCGATTATAAACCAGTAACATTCTTCTATTTTTTTTTATTTTCATATAACTACAATTTGCCTAGTGAGGCATTCAGAAATTTTGGTGCCAAATGTGTAGATATAAGATTTGAAAACCCAGCGACTACGCAGTGGCAGTCATTCAATAGTTTGAAAATTGATGAGATTAAAATACAGGAATGGAATAATAATGTATATATGTAATAATATATGTAGTTTTATGTCTTCTATGATAAATTGTGATATGTGTACATTTAAGTTCGTATTTGTGCTAGAAGTATTCGTACATGTGGCTTTCCTTTACAAAATTTATAGCCCGCACGTATTGTATGCGTAGGATTATACGGGTTCATCAAATAAGCTAATAGTATGTTTGAGCAACGCTATGGAGAATGATCATGTTTCTATTATATTATATTCCAAGCTATAACATAGTAGTACATATCCAGTCTAAAAACTACTTTAGCATTTGATCATCTATGCAATTATCTCTCTACTAAATAGAAAACCTAACCTAGAAACCGCACAAATGTCGAAAAAGCGATCTTAGATAACAAGATCCTTCTGACCCAACTTCAAAACAAACAAGTAACGTTGCAGTTTATGTGTAAATCGACTGAATGCACAGCAAATACATGACATTTGATAGTATTTAGTATGATTCAGTAGCATAATATATGAAAGTTGGAGCGTAACATGGCCTTGTCATAACATTGGTCTGTTGTGCGGCAGAATCGGCCCTCGGAATCGGAAGATTCCGCGATTGTCGGCAATCATCGCTCAGACATGTGACGTCACATACCCATCTATGTTTGAGCACTAAATACAACGAAAAACATATGAGGAGTAGCAGTCCATGTAGTGTAATGTCTTTGGTACTATACTTATAACTAATAAATTATATAATTTGGCTGATTTTTTTCTATATTTATAATGGGCTTGTTATATATAAGCGTATATATATAACTGATAACTACACTTCATTTAACACCACAAAATATCGTTGAAGTATTTATTTCTTTAACTTGATATGCTGTTTGTATTTTCTTATCGATGGCGTTCAATATCGCATTTTTTCTTGAAGGGGCAATGGCTTTCGCTTTGGCTTATTAAACAAGGTGATAAATCGTATTAAGCGTTAAGAAATATATACAAATATATGTCATTGATGTCAAGTGACGTATTATGCAAGAAGTCGTATTAAACGCATTTTACTGCATATGTTAAATGTTTGTTCCAATTTGTTGACTACCATCTATTGGGGCACATCGGAACGATTATAATATAATAATTTTGTGTTAACAATTGTTATCGGTTGTTTCAATCAGCCGTACAAGACATATGAATAGCGAATTCGGGTATAAATTTGGCAACGTAGGTGGAGGGGGTGAAAGAGTCGAGCATTCATTGTTAAGGCATTGTTGATTTTGCATCAGACGTAGTTAGATGTGCAAACGAATCAAACGTGAATAAAAGTGCAAGGTAATAATAGCCATACGTAAATTAATTTGTATCTAACTTGCTGAAATAGGCTGAAACTAACTAAGAAGCCAATTTTTCGATAAAATAGAAATGTTTTGGGTCTATAATCATATGAGTTGGTAGTCTCGAAATCGAAAAAAGCTATGTATTTTCAGGCGTTTGTCACTTACGTGACCACATCCCCCGTTTTGGTCGGGACAGTCCCAGATTTCTCATGTAGGTCCCGGGTTTTTGTATGAGCAATATTTGTCCCGGATTTTATCTTTAGTCCCGGATTTTCCCGGGTTTTGAAAAGTATACATTTATATTGATTTTTTTTGTAATTTCTTGCCAATAAAATCACAACTACCTATCGATAATCTAACTAGCGCGGTATGGCATCGTGCCTCTAGGCAAACTGCTGGAACTTCCCGCAGCGTAACGAAATGTTCGAGGAATAATAAATGTTTTTAAATAGATTATAAATATACTGTAACATTGTCTAATATTTATTTATTTGAAGAAATAAACTGAATTACAAAGTTGAAATTATTTATTTAAAGTATATAAGTTAGCTTCAGATCTTTAGCCTAAATTAAAATTAAAATCTGAATTATTTTCGATACACAAAAAAAATCTTTAAAAATTTTTTTTGAAATATTTTTTTTTAATTTATTGTTCATAGCAAACAGGTAAACAGAGTACATTCAGCTACTTTACAGGTATAAATATAGAATAATTTGAAACAAGTTTTTTCCACAATCAATTATTTTGTTAAAACAAGCAGTAAGTTTTTTGAATCATTCAAATCGAATGCTTAGTTCTCTCAAAAACTGCCATTTTTTGCACATTTATCTCTGTTTCTTCGAAATGGCTGGACCTGCCTTTGCCAAAAACTAAACACCACTTCTCCTAATTATTACAAATTGAATATTTTTTGGATCATTCAAATCGGATACTCCGTTCTTTCAAAAACTCGATTTCTATTTTCTGCACACTTTGCTCCGTATCTCCGTAATGGCTGAACCTGCCTTTGCCAAAAACTAATCAGCACATTTTCCTACCAATAGGAATCGAATGTTTTTTGAATCATTCAAATCCATACCTTTTTACAGTTTGTGACTACCAACACATACGATTTTAGACTCGAAGCATAATAGTTCTGTTTTATCGCAGAATTGCCCTCTACATTACTTTTCTACTTTTAGGTTCTATCAGGAAATTGCCAGAATAGAAACATACAAACTTTGTACATAAAACGCAATAATGTCTCAAAGTAAGTAATATTATTTCTGCTGCGTACTTGTTAAATCTGACGCCGATTAATTATTATTTTGACGTGTTGAATAATGAACTGTAAACATATTGCATAATCCACCTGGCTGTATAAATGTAAGTTTGTAGTATATTGTTTTCAGATAATTTGTAATAAAAAAAGTGAATAAAATAAAACACCCCATTAAGATGATTATGCTTGATACGATTTCTCGTATAACATACTCTTGGTAATTTGGTAATCGTTTTAACGGGGTTTTACTGTAAAAATACACACACTCACACACACACACACACATACATATATATATATATATATATATATATATATATATATATATATATATATATGACTTTTGACAATTGTTTTGACTTCATTATATGGATTTTTTGAATGGATGGCGACCCAGTATTTGTCCAATCCAATTATAACTAATTAACTATACCCGAAGTATTTGTTGTCATTTTTATTATATATATATATATATATATATATATATATATATATATATATACAACTATACCCACGAAAGGCTATTTTTATTTACATTGATTGATAATTAACAGTGACTTTACAATATCTAATAGTTTACCTTTTATTTCTGTGCTAAACATCTAATTTTTTTGTGACATCATAATTGCGGTAGAAATTTTTTTGTTCTTACAATAGAAATTACAAAGGTACTGTTTTGTGCTTGTTATTAAATCTTGGGAGAATCTTATCTTCGAGATTTATGTTTCCCCGTGGATTAGTGGTTAGAGGTATGGGATATCATTAAGCAGTTTCAGGTTTGCTACCCGGTTCGGATAGCTTGATGTTGAGCAGTAGTGACATCAGTTTTCACTTCATAGTATAGATAGCAGTGTTTCCAAGTTAAAATTATCTTTCCCGGTATTGCTGTATCAATAAAAATTAGTATTACCTCACTTTAAATAAAAAAGGTTACCCAATTATTTTTTTATAACCATTCCTATTATATGGTTAGTAAAAGTAGACTAATACAAAGTAAAATTACAAACAAAATCTATTCATTTATTACTGTTATAAATATATTTGGTGTGATAATCAATGGAAGTTATTCTGCCTCAAATTCTACAATTTTTCATCATTATACAAGTATATATTAGGGTGGTCCTTAATATGGATATTTTCAATTTGTTTTGCTCCCAAGGGCTCAAATGGTTTCAAAATGATAAAAAAAATACCCTGAAAGTTTTAGCTTTGAATATTAATTTTAAGATAGTCCGCAATCCTATCAAAATTTTATGAAGATAACATGGGTAAAGTTCTATTTGTATTTTTAGAATTTTATAACTTAGAGATAAGTGAATCCAAATTTTGAGAATAACAATGTTATTTGCTTATTTCGATTATGAATAAAAAAAATTACAACAAAAATTTGGTATATTTTATAAAAGAAGTATTTATTCAGGAAGAAGAACCAATAAACTTTGGATGCAGTGCGGAGTATCTTAAAGTTAATGTTGAGAGCTAAAACTTTCAGAGAATTAATTTTTATCAATTTGGAAGCATTTGAGCGTCTGGCAGCAAGGAAATTCGAAAATAGTTATATTAAGGATCACCCTAATAAAGGTATTTATATAACTAAATAAATATATATATATATATATATATATTATGTCGAACAATTTCTATGAATTGCGTAATTCCTGGCTTTGCCGATAGTAATGAGATCAAAGCAAGTGCAATACACCTTTAATTAGTAGAAGCAATTGTGAAATAATTTCGCGTTAAATCGTTCAAAATGGGATTTAATCAGCATTTGCTTAATGTATTGACTTGCTTGCAGATTTATATATTA